GGGGGGGTGCGGTTCTCCCTGTTGGGAGACTCCTGGGGCTCCGGGCCTGTGGGCCGCTGTGTGTCTGTGGCTCCGGTCCTCCCTATGTTGCCATTTTGTCCTGGGGGGACGGGTCTGTGGGCCCCCGCGTCCACTATTGGGCATTCTTTTGGAGAAATCTGGTGGTGGCAGGCGTGCTTGCGCGGGTGTTTGGATTCAGGTGCTGTGACAGATGCACGCTAGGTTGGGTAGTGGTGGAAGCTAGATGATTCCTTGTGCGATGTCGAATGTTTCATGGTGATATTGTGGGTGGCATTGTGCTGTGCATGTTGTTTTGTCGTGGTGGTCTCTCGTTTTATCTATTTCTCTTTTATTATTTAATTATTCTTCTTTCTTCTCTCTTTAAAAAAAAAATTAAAAAAAATAAAAATAAAAAAAATAAAAAAATAAAAATTGAGCAATGATGATAAGTTCATTGAAACACTTCACAATGTTTCTACACTTAAACTGAGCTCAAAAAAAAAAAAAGAGCGGGAAATCGGCTCCCAAAAATAGCTTTTTCTTCAGCCATTTAGGAGCCAGTGAGGCCCGACGCTTAAAGGGTTACGCTTATACTCATAGAATCTGAGGTTACAGTATGTAACCAACGTTCTATTTCGTATAAGCTTCGCCCTTTAAGGCTGTCGCTTGGTGGGTTAAGGGCGAAGCAGATGTGGTCCTCTCCTCACTGGGTCCATTCGAACACCGTATGAAGCAGAAGCTTGCCCAAAAAACGTCTTGTTACTCAGCTCCCTATGTGCGTAATTACGCATTGCATAATTATGTGAGCCATGCACAGACGCATGCTGTGTAACTATGCATTCATGGCTGAACAGTATAGACAGATTAATAATAACAAATGACTGATTATTAATCAAATGAACTGATTGGTAACAATAGTCATGAACTGATTAGTGACAATAGAACCAAAATAACAGACACAACTTGTGACTGATAACACATCTCACACTGTAATGCATGCAGACAGATGTGAGCTTAAACAGAGTTCTATGTGTAGTGGACTAGGCCTATGTCAAAACTGAGTCTTAGGTCAAAACTCTTGACCTTTAGGACCTTGTGGGACAGGAACTGTCATTTCATTCATTTGAACTCAGAAATACAGGTTCACCCATCCTGAGACTTTCTTTCTTGAAGATTCAAGTGAAAAGAACACTCTCTTTTTATTATCATTACTATTTTACAAATGTTGATAATCAAAATGTCTTAGTTCAAACCATTTTAGATGTTGCAGTGAACTAATCAATTTTATTAACTGAGTAATGATTTTTATTCTCATGTCAAAGCTGTTACAGAATAATTATGCATTTTCTGATTTCTGCCTTTGAGTGAGCAAGTGTGCGTTTCCAAGGTTGGAGTCAAACGAAAAACAAGTTGTTGAACGAACTGTCATGTTTTGTAGAATCCTCTCAGACGTAAATAGAGAAGTTTTAGCACCTGTTTCTGAAACGCGCCAAAACAAAACTCTCTCTGTCTGTGAGAACATTTCTGATCTGTTTCATAACAATTCTCGCTGTCTCTAACCTCTTGCGTCACAAAACACACCCCGTCTGGTCGTTTCTGACCAATGAACAAATCCCAAAAGTGAACCGGGAAAGAGTCTTTAAAATGTCAGTACTTCCTGGTCTAGTCAGTTCTGCTAAGTCTGGTATGGTGCTGGAACCGTTCTGGGACAGCTCTGATGGAGTGCTGATGGAGTTCTGATGGAGTGCTGTTGGAGTTCTGCTGGATACACAGTCCAACCAGTTCTGTTCATGTTCTGATGGAGACGGGATGATCCTGACATGACAACAAGCTCTTCCGAGTTCCATGGGATTATAACATTTTCCACTGAGGTGAATATGTGTCGAACAGAGCCTCGCCACTACTTCTGACGAGCTACAGCCATACTAAGGAGACGCTGGACAGGTAGCGTTAACGGAACACCATATCTGCTGATTATCATCAGAAAGGTAATGGGTCAAGTTTCCTACCAAGCGTACCGAGGCGAGCTGGGTTTCTGATGGAGAGTGCCGTTCTGGTGAACACTTACTTCCCCTCAAACCCCATCTTTTACTCCCTCTAAACTTCTTTCCATCTTTAAACTTTTCTATCAAGTAGAAATTCTTCCAGATATTTTAGAAATGTCTGTGTAAAATGCTCACCCACATTCATGTGGGTAAAAGATCATAGTTGTACAGTTTTCATAAGTGTCTGTGGTGAAGCAACGGAAAAATCATGGCCGTATGATTTTTCCTGATTGATTGCTTATGTTGTTATTTTCATAATTTGCCAAATTAATGTAAATGTTTGATGTTAAACTTTGATTCTGTAAATAAATGACCGCATTCATTTTGATGGGTCAAACGTAAATGACGTCTCACGTTTGCATTTCCTTAAATTCAATGCACGTTTTATTCAGTCCAGAAAAATGAGGAATCCGTTTTAAATGATGAATATATCCGAGCATCTGTTCATCTACATATGAAAACAACAATATTCATTCTGTTAGAGCACTAAGGACAGAATGTGTCATGGAACGGGCCGTCACGTAGATAAGAGCGAATGAATGAGCAGGGTGTTGACCACGCGGCCGCAGTGCAAAAGTCCTGCATTGTCATACCATTATGCAAGACAGTCGAAGATGCGATACCCCTGGTCGAGTGCGCCCTGAGGTTGACAGGAGGCTCTAAAACTGATGCTCTGTAGGCATCAGAAAAAAAGGCCTCACACAGCCAGTGTGACAAGCGCTGGGTGGATAACGGGCGACCTGCAGATGCATCTCTATAATGCACAAACAAATGTTGAGTTTGGCGCATTACAGCCGTGCGCACTATGTAACACGTCAACGCCCGCACCGGGCAGAGAAGATGAAAAGATGCTTCTTCTTCTGATCTGTGGGGGGGGGAGGGAAAAAAAAACCTCCAACGATATCACTCTTGATTTAAAAGAGCTTGTGATGTTTT